ATCATCTCCATCATCATCATCTCCATCATCATCATCTCCATCATCATCATCATCATCATCATCATCATCATCATCATCATCATCATCATCATCATCACCATCATCATCATCATCGTCACCTTTGTAATACTGATATTTGACTTGTGTCATTCGTTGAGATGTCATTCGGGATCTCAAAGTCGCTGACGACTCGTTTGACATCGTCAGCCCTGAAGGCCCTTTGACAACTCCTTGTCAAACTTTCTCCTCCACCACCACCTCCTTCACCTCGCCGCCTTGACACGGTAGGTAGCGAGCAGGTGTCCCTGCTGAAGCAGAGCAGAGCTGCGAAGTAGAAGAGAAGGAGAGGACGAGGACGAGCAGGACGAGGACGAGAAGGACGAATAGAGGGAGGGAGAGGAAGAGGGGACGAAGACAGGGAGGACGAGGAGGAGGGGGAGTTATCCAGCCAAACAGCAGAGCCGAAGCAATCTCTCGTGGTAACCGTGAAGGTGTAAACTTGTCCAGCAGTGGCAGTGGTGACCTCCCTGTCCACCTGAGACCCAGCTGTCAACCACCGCAAACTGCCCGCAACCTGAGGTACCAGGGAGCAGCCTGAGCTCACTCTCTGCTCCTTCACCGCAGCCGCCAGCCCCTCAGTCGAGCGCAGAGGGAGGAGGCAGTAGAGGAGGCTGACGTTGTACCCTCCCGCTATGAAGCTCGTGTACCCTACCGTCCTGACGTTGTCCTCCTGCTCCTCCTCGCCCCCCAGTCCGGCATTGTCTTGAAGGACATTAGCGTCGTCCCTTCCATCCTCCTCCTCCTCATCTCCCTTCCCTCCTCCCCCTCCGCCTCCTCTTCATCTCCCTTCCCTCCTCGTCCTCTCACCGAGTGGTAGCTCCACCAACACGTCAGGTGAAAGGCGAAACCTAAGGAAGCATGCCTCAGGTGCAGAAGAGGAGAAGGAGAAAGGCCTATGAAGCAGCTGCGACCAGGGGGAGGAGCAGGAGGAGGAGGAGGAGGAGCAGGAGGAGGAGGAGGAGGAGCAGGAGCAGGAGCAGGAGCAGGAGCAGGAGCAGCACCAGCACCAGCAGGCTCTCTGTGGCTTCACTCACGTTAGGCTGCTGCAATTCTCTGTTGGAGTGTAGGCGACGTTGCCAAACTGATCGCGCAGATGGACCGCAAAGTTCGCCTCGAGCCCAGCTGGGGGAGAGTGAGGGGCAGAGAAGGGAGGAGGACGATTCTCCCTACCGGTAGCGAGAGTGAGCCCGGTCCCTTGAGCAAAGCTCGAGGACGAACAGACGGACGAGGGGCTGGGAGCAAGTCAAGATGGGGGAGAAGGAAGGAGAGTGGAGAGGAGGAGGAGGGCGGAAGAGGAGGAGGAGGGCGGAGGAGGAGGAGGAGGAGGAGGTAGGAGGAGGAAGGGAGGAGGAGGAAGGGAGGAGGAGGAAGGGAGGAGGAGGAGGAGGAGGAAGGGAGGAGGAGGAAGGGAGGAGGAGGAGGAGGAGGAGGAGGAGGAGGAGGAGGGCGGAGGAGGAGGAGGAGGAGGAGGGCGGAAGAGGAGGAGGAGGAGTACAGGATCCGGACGAGAAATTCCTTCTGCTGGATGAGGAGGAAGCCGCCGAGCTTGACGGCGAGCAGGTAGGAACCCGAGCATGTGACGTTGAAGCTGCCCACGTGCTCCCCTCCCCTGCTGGAGAAGAGCACGTCCGCGCTGCTCCTGCCTGCAAGGACGGCAGAGAAGGAGTCCTACAGGATGAGTCAGGGAGGAGCTGGGTTGCTGCTGGGCTTGCCTCCTCCTGCCGTAGGTTGCCGAACATGTCGCGCGGATAGACGGAGAACACGCTGACGGCACCGCAGGTAGCGAGCGATAGCGCTGCTCCTGTTATGCTGGTGGCAAGCGCGTTGGGTAGTCCGGGCCTGACCTGGGAGGGGAGGGTGAGGTGCGGTAGAGGTCGAGGAGGGAAAGGATGAATGGTGAGGAGAGAAGAGGTGGGGAGAGCAGAGGAGGTGAGAGGGTGAGGAAAAAGGGCAGTGAGAAGATGGGACAAAAGAGAAATGAAGGAGAGGAGAGGAGAGGAGAGGAGAGGAGAGGAGAATAGGGGGAGGAGAGGAGAATAGGGGGAGGATGGGTAGAGATGAGGGGAAACGAGAAAGAAGGAGAGAAGAAGACGAAAGAGGAGATCAAGGTTTTGGGGTCACTGAGAACCTGCAGGGTAAGAGAGTTCTTGATCGCTTCCTGCCGTCCATCAGGAAAGGAAAGAACGGCTGATATGTTGACATCCCCGACTCGATCGCAGGAGCACGAGAAGAGGCATCCGCCTCCTGCAGGGCCCTGGTAGCCGCAGAGCCGCAGGGCAGCGGAGTCCTGTGAAGGAACGACGAAGGTCTGGCAGGAGGAGGAAGACGAGGAGGAGTCAGACGAGGAAGGGGAGGGCAAGAGAGCTGCGGGTGGCGACAAGACAAGGTAGAGGCGGAAGCTATCACTTTCACAGGAGGAGGAGGAGGAGGAGGAGGAGGAGGAGGAGAAGTGGGATCGTGGAGCAGAGGAGAGCAAGACAGCGCAGGGAAGGAGGAGCAGCTCACCTGCACGTGTTGACAACCTGCCGGTCAGACACAGGGTTCTCAAACGTGTCCAACATCTGCAAGGCCACCTCCAGTTCTCGCCCAGCTGTCATGTAGGCTTGCTGGACGCTCAGCAGGCTTATTTGCAGAAGCACGTCACAACCACCAGCAGCGAGAGCGATCGCGGTACCTCGTCTCCGAGTCAACCTCCCCTGGGACGACCTCCACCGTGAACGGGCTCCCAGCAACATGCTGGGACAGGAGGAGGACGCTGACAGTCAGGTTCCCGCTCTGCTGGACATTGAGGTGAACGCGGGAGACACTGATGTTCGGCCCCTCCTGCAAGCTCAGGGCTTCGTTCCCCAGCAGTCGCTCGAAGCCGTTGGCAAGCAGGACGAGTCCCTCGACCGTCACCTCGCTCCTCATGGCCGGGTTGCCGTACGGGTCCGCGAAGGATACGAGCACGGGAACGCTTCCCGCTGTCACTTGATACCCGGTGCCCTGGCACAAGCTCGCTTCAATGCAGGGCAGGCATCGCTCGCTGACAAGGTAGAAGCCCTTGGGGCATCTGCACGCACAGCCTCAGCTCGGCTTCACCGCACAAACTCTCCTCACCTCGTCCCGGTCGTTTGCGAGCTCAGCATCAACTTCGTCGTATGCCAAACTGCCTGTTGCGGCAGGACTTGGAGGGTCATGAGGACCTCGCTCTCAGTCGATGAGAGGTCCGTCCTGTTCTGCACCCTCACCAGCACGACAAGCGTGTACATACCGCTCCTCGTCGGCGCCATGTACTCGATACTCGCCTCTCCCTCACCAACATCAGACAAGACATGCGGCAGGGACCAGGGGGTGCAGGTCTCAAGACACCAAGACCCTGATGCCCTCACTGCAGCGCTGGCGATTTCGCCGTCAGAGCTAGTCGCCTTGAGCACGAACATGGCAACGCTCCCAGCACTCGCCACTGAGAGCCCGTCACCGAAGCTTGTGACATCCTCCGCACAGTGTGCTCCGAGGAAGCACAGCAGAACAAGGAGGAGGACGCGAACCGTGCGCATCACTGAGAGAGACCTAGAAATCCTCGCGCTCTTGTCATTATCTCGGCATTTTCCACCAGGAGCTCAGAATCACGACACCTGTGGGATCGTCAACGTGACCGTCCCCCTTCGAGACCCTGCTAGCCACCTCTCATCCAGCTACACAGCGCTTCCTCTCTTATGCCCCTCATGATGCCGCCAGCATCTTCATCTCGTCTTGTGTTCATCGTCTCCCTCCTCCCTACTCCTTCCATGGCTCTTCCCTCCCGTCGCATTAGGATTGGCAAACATCCGGTTTGATAGATATTTGACTACCCCGGCCTACCCCACCCCTGTATTCCAGCGTCTTAATTACTATCTTAGTACCGTAAAGTAGTACCACCCCACCCACGACCGTGACCGGGCCTGCCGCGGGCCGCCCGGGCCGGCCGGGCGGCCGCGCACCCGGTCACCGTCACTGCGCGGCGGCACCGGCACCGGGCCGGTGAAAGTTGCAAACTGACTCACACCGTGGCACACCGTTTGAGAAACTGAGACTCAATCGGAGATGAACTCGGAACGGTTATCATGACTGAGCTCCGAAGAAAAATTCTTCGTTGAAAGGCAAGTCCAGACCTCGGACCGGGACTCGCCGACCCCGCCGATCAACTTAGAGCCCGGGCCCGCGGCGGCGCGCACAGTCGGGGGAGCGACCGTACGGTGCGCTGTCACGGTTTCACTATTCAACTGCCACGGGGTCCGATCGGAGCCTCCGGCTTACTCGGATCGGACAGTGGCCGAGGCTTGCCCGGTACGCCGGGTAGTAGTACTCAGCCCGGTCACTCAACTGATCATGATGAGCCTCCGCCGCCGGTTTCACTTAACTTCGAGAAACTATTGATTTACTCAAAGTTAAGTTAAAAATCAGTATGAGGATCTACTAGTGTGACAGCGGCACGTGACTGAGAGAGCCGTTTAAAAATCACAAAAGTCCATGAAATCATTCTCTCCATCTTCAACTTTTGAGCCAAGAAATTCAAAAGATTCCCTTCAAATTCAAATCAGGGAACTCGCTGCAGGCAAACTCAACTTGTACGAAGTTAAAAATCTCCCGAGGGGATTTGGGGGACTGATGTATAACCCCCACCCCCCCTAACCAGTCAAATCATGGTTAAGTGGGGGTGGTACTCCACTCTCCGGGCATTTAAAAAGTCGACTACAGGTGCTGTGCAAGCTATCACTGAAGTAGGTGGGGTAGGTGACCAGGGTGCCAGGTAGGGGTACATAGATATGTTTTCAGGGGGTAGGGATGTACACCCTCCGAGAGCTCCATGTGGATGGGGGTGGGTACCCCTGATCAAAACTGTTTAGATGACATCGAGCTGTAGTACCCCCACTTCTCCCCCCTCGTGTACCCCCTCGAATCGCTGAGTCCAGAGGTTAATTCTCAGGGGGGTGGTGATCTCGGGCGGTTGGTGTCCCGTGCTGAAATTTCAAATCATGCGGGGTGGTCACATCCAAGGGGTAGGGGTAGTGAAGTTAAATTCAAGGTGTCATACCGGTCTGTTCATAGAGGTATAAGAGGGTGGGTAGTGTGATGTGAAGGGGTCCCTGAATCATGAGGCAACTTCTTTTAGGTGGGTGGGGTGGGCTAGGAGGTTGAAAGCAACTGACAACGACGGCGACAAGGGCAGGAATGAGCGGGAAGGAAAGGGAGGGAGGGAGGGAAGGAGGGAGGTAGGGAGATGGGAAGAGAGATGAAGAAGATGATTATGAAAGGAAGAGAGTAAGTGAGCAGGAAGAGGTCAAACAGAATGTGTGGAGAGGTAGTGAGAGAAGGATAAGGAACGCATAAGAGGGCAGGTGGAGAAAGGGAAAGCAGAAAGGAAGAGAAGAAGGGGTAGAAAGAGGGAGGATACGACGTAGCAGACAAAAAGGCGATATGGTACAATATCGTGCAGATGAGGGAGGGAAGGGTGCAAGGTTCGAAGTTGTTCCCGATAGCATGCTGATCTCTCCCTGCAGATGACTTGGGCAAGTTTCGTGGGGCTGACTCTGGTCTGTTCGCTCCAACTTGTCAGGGGAGCAAGGCAAGTGTCATGGTTGCTGTGCATCTCGTTCGCTCACACCCGTGTGCTGCAGCGTCATCCCATCTGGGTCAGAAGCTTTCAAGATCCTTCAAAACACCTACGGCGTGAAGAATGCCATCGTCAGCAATGCATGCGACCGTTGCGACTGGAGCTGTAACACGGGCTACTTCTTGAACAGCAGCAATGCTCCTTACAACTGGACTTGCGAAAAATGTCCCTCCAACTCTTACTCGGATGTGCGAGGAGCAACCAACGTGTCTTTCTGCAAGTGCAATGCTGGCTACGCTGGGACCAATGGAGTTTGTACTGCATGCAACGGAGGCACATTCTCTCCTGTCCGCGGGTTGACGGCCTGCCTCTCGTGCACATCTGGCACCAACTTCTCTTCAACCGTTGGAGCGACAACATGCACAGCATGCAACACAACCTGCCCAGCAGGAAGTTACAAGAGTGGTAATTGCACTGCCTCACAGGACCTGCAATGCGCGACATGCTCGAGCTATCGCACTAATTCTACTTCAGTCAGCGCAAACTCGGGCGCAGCGAGCAGCGTGTGCGTGTGCGATGCCGGGTACTACTACAACTCTACGAGCTCCAGTTGCATCGCCTGCGAGGCAGGGAAGTACAAGAAGGACAAGGCGAACAATGAGACATGCACGTCTTGCAACACCTCGATGGGTCACTACTCCTCGATGGGACAGTCGACGTGCTACACATGCCCCGCACCATCTTCTTGCGCAGATGGGTATTACTTCGATCCGAGCACGTGCGACAACAACCACTATCAATGCGTCCAATGCCCTGGAACTGGTGGGCAGAAAACTGATAGCCCTCGTAACTCCTCCAGCGCCTGCTATTGTGACAAGGGTTATTACATGGATGGCAACAATGGATGTAAACCATGTGGTACAGGCACGTTTGGGAATGCGACTGGACTGACGAAGTGTTATGATTGCACGCAAGGTGTGAACTACGCGAACAATATTGGTTCGACTGAATGCAAGTCCTGCAGCACGACACCGTGCCCCACAAACAATGTCAAGAACGCTAATTGCCAGGTTAATGCGGACAGGACGTGCAAGTCCTGCCCAACTTTCTCGTACGTTGCATCAGACAACTGTGTTTGTAATGATGGATACGGTGGAGATGCCAACACTGGTCAATGTACGATATGTGATGCGGGGAAGTTCTCAAACTCGACTTACACCACCTGTGAAGCTTGCCCCACCGACGCATACAGCGCTCAGGGAAGCGGTTCTTGCTCGCCTTGCAGAAGCACACAAGCCTGCAACTCGAATGAGATCTCATCCAACACGTGCGACCAAACAACTGGAAGGTACTGCACCACCTGCCGCATAGACAAGACTGCGCTCAACAATGTTTGTGTCTGCAAGCCTGGCTACTACTACAACTCATCATCATCACTTGAATGCATCGCCTGCCCTGCAGGACAGTACCAGGATGTCGCCAACATGACAACCTGCAAGGCCTGCCCTGATGGAAGCTTCAGCATGGAATCCGGTAGGTCGACTTGCACCACCTGTACGAAGTGTGCTGCTGGTACATACTTCAAGGCCAACTGCACCAGCACGGCAGACGTCCAGTGTGACAACTGCGCAGCTGGAAATTCATCGCACTATGGTGCGATGAAGCAGTCAGATTGCTTCATGTGCCCTCCCGGCACCATCTCCACCTCCGCAGGCCAAACGTGCAGCCCATGCGCCACAGGGACATACAACCCCTTCTACGGGCAGACTGCCTGCCTTCCTTGTCAGTCTGAATCCACCTCTCCTGCTGGAAGCATTGCGAGGGAGGCCTGCAAGAATCAGATCAGCTTACAGTGCGACAATGTTCCGGCCAACGGCGCCATCAACTCCGACGCCTTCTTCTCCCACGTGCTCACTGGCTCCACCTGTGCCTCCTGCTCCTGCCCCTCGGACACAATCATCACCGGCACTTGCGGAGGAGCGGGATCGATCACCTGCTACACCTGCAAGGGGAGCTGCACGTGGACAATGAGCTTCACTGCGGCTGTGCAAGGATACTCCTCCAGCGACTACACTGCAGCCCTCGGGTCCCTCGGGTCGGCCACGGTCACGAGCACGCAAGTGGTGTATCAGTTGAATCCCACTGGGAACATGAGCTACACGCTGGTGTCAACTTCAATCGCTGTGACAGCCATCGATGGGAAGGGGACGACCCCACTGAGCTACTCGGCGGTGGAGAGCAATCTCAAGACCAAGAGCATCACGTTGATTGCGTTCCAAGACAGCGTCAAATACGAAAAGCAAGAGATGCCCCTGGCCTCTCCTACCGTGTTTGTCTTCCTGAAGGGATCTGCCTCCGTCTCATTGGCTGACTTCAAGGCAAATTTGGGCACCTTCAAGCAGGTGATCGCCACAGCTGCTGGAGTGAACGTGGACAACGTGCTCGACGTCAACGCAGTCGAGAACAGCAGAAGGGCCACGAGTGTCTCGTACACGGGCAAGATCGGAGTGGCCAGTGTGGTAAGGAGAGATGACTGGGAGGAGGAGACAGTCTGACGTGCTTCGATAGGCTGCTGGAAACGCGGTCAAGTCCAGCCTTGACGCGAACTTTGCAACAGCACTTGCTGGGGTACGACCTCCTTCCCCTCATTCTCGCTTCACTTCCTCTCTGCCCCTCTCCATCTCCCTCGCTACTCGTTGCTCGTTCTGATGCTTGCTGCACAGGCATCGCTCACGGGATACACCATCAGTTCCTCAAGCCCCTCCTCCACCGCTCCCTCCGGTTTCGAGCCGATCGTTGCCACCACCACTCCTGCCCCCGCTCTCAGCAGCGGAGCCAATCGCGGCACCCTCCCTCTCCTATGGCTGGCCCTGGCGTTTGCAGCCCTTCCTCTGCTTGCAGCGAAGTGAGGCATGCAGTGATGGTACGCGAGAACTGGCGATACAGCGCTGGTTCTTTCCTGCTGACCCAGGTTGATGCTTCTACATGCTTGTAGGAAGAGGGCGTCTGAGTCGCCTTGTTCCTTTTAACCACCTAACTAGATTAGCTCTGTGCACTTTCTTGGTAATTAAATTAGCTCCGTGCGCTTTCCAGCCACTCGTTCTCCCGAGTCCGATTCGTCAATCTTTGACTACCTGTAAGGCCCAGGGGGGGTGGGGTAGTCTCAGATTCCATTTGGTAAATTTGTGGGTAGTTCAATAGAAAACTTGGGGTAGGGGTTCTCCAAGGTGGGGGTACGTTGTTTGGAGGTCCGTTGGCCTGGCAATGTCAGTGAGCATGGCGGAGGAGGCGGGGAAGCAGCAGATGAGGCTGAGGGAGATGCGAGAGAAGATCGAGAAGAGCAGGAGCGAGCCCAAGAGGACGAGGAAGGGAAGCAGCAGGGAGGGAGGAGGGGAGGAAGAACAGGGGTTGAGTGAGGGGCGAGCAGGGGATGGGAGGGTGGAAGGGAGGTCGTTGAAGGAAGTCCGAGAGTCGATCGAAGGCTACAGAGCGGAGGAGCGCAGGGTCCTCCAGGAGGGACTGAAGACCAGAGGGACGAGAGCGTGCGAGGGCAACCTGGAAGGAGAGCTTCTGACATACAGGATGGTGCTCGAGATGGAGATGAATGGGTTGAACAAGAGTAGGTTGAAGATGCTGGCCAAGGATCGCATCAGAGGTCGACATGACAACGAGGATGGCAAGGAGATCGAAGACGATAGGATAGAGTTCGGGAGGAGCCGATCAACCTACGGGCGCTTCCTGTCGCGCAAGCTGCTCGTTCAAGGCTTGACGACAGAATTTGTCGCTCCCTGCTCACCTGAATGGCAGGCGGCAGCGCAAGGGCACGAGAGGGGAGGAGCAGGGCTCAGCTTCAGATGCTGCTGGGGCGGCAGCCAACCAACGAGGTCCCTGCATGCACAGCTGCTGCTCGCTCGCTCACTCCGCAGGTCGATGAAGGAGGTGAAGCAAGTGCTGAAGAAAGGCGGTTACCTTCCTCCCCCCTTGTTGTCGTGATGCTTGACTCCCTCCACAGCAAAGCAGCACGTCGACTTCTCCTCGAGTGATGAAGGACCACGAGAACGATCGACGTTGCTACCTGAGGAGGAGGGAGTCGGCGGTCAGGTGATGTGGGAGGCTCCCCTACTCCCCATGACTTGAGTGGGTCCAGGAAAGAACGAGGAAGAGCCAGAGGCACACGAGAGCTCACTCACCCAACGACCTGACGTCGACGTCCTCCGGGGAGAGATCCGAGGGTCAGCATGGTGAGCGGCAGCCAGGGACGAGCAGTGGCTGACTGTGGGTGCGGGCGGTGCAGGGACGACGAGGAGGCGGGTGAATCCGGAGATGAACAAGTTCAGGAAGTTCAAGCAAGGCAAAGCTTGCCTCTCTCCTCCTTGTGTTGGGCTGAGGGTCATCGTGACATCAGACTTCGACAAGAGGATGCTCGACCTAAGGAAGAAGCTGGCAGTCAATGTCCGTCCTCCGCTGCGCCCCGTCCCTGTACTGAACGGAGCTGCAGGCAGAGAAGGAGAGGAAGAACCTAGAGAGGGAGTCGAAGTTCTCAGACCTCCTGGCCAAAATTCAGATGTGAGCACACCGTCCCTCCGTTGCACTGTCCCATGCTGACCTCTCGCCGTCAGTCACTCCAGCGCCACCCGTGAATCAAGGAGGAGCTCGTCTCCCTCCGTGATCGAGGCATCTCCTTGTTCCCCCTGCCGCTCGCCCGTCCCCTTACAGAGCAGCAGGTCAAGAGCTCCTCTCCTCGACGACCCGCAACCAGCCTGGAGGCCCTTCTTGACAACGAGTTGAGGCGTGCTGAGGTGATGCTGCTCTGACTCTGCTATCTCCTCCCTCACAGTTGGAACTTCCACTAGAGGAGGAGCTCCTTTCCAGAGGAACCAGTCTCCTCCGGGGCAAACAGCCCTGCCCCCCAGGACAACAGCAGCAGGCGGGGGAGCATGAGGATGTGAGCTTGTTGCGTGCATGTTCCTTGACGCCCAGTCACCTTGTGGGGTCAGGGACAGCAGGAGGAGCAGCTTGCGACGCTCCTCCATCATGAGCTTCATGCGAGGGCCCTCCAAGGCTAGGCAGGAGCTAGAAGACGCGAAGGAGGAGGATAAGGAGACTCCTTCGGAGGATGCGGAAGCTGACGAGGCCGAGAGCCAATCGACGGATCCCTCGGACTCGCCCACGTTCGAGGAGATGCTCAAGATGAAGAGAGAAATCTTGGGAGAAAAGGGCTCTCCGAGGGAAGCCCAGAAGGTCAGGTCAAAGAGCGCCACCACCACTCGCGCATTCAAAGTGGCAACTGCTGCGAGGATGAAGCCACCTGGTCGGTTTTGATGGGGAAGAAATTCCATGACGATCCTTCATGTATCATGATTGTAAATATGATGATCTAAGCTAATAATAAGCAGTCTCAATTCAATCTTGCAGCAGAAGCTCTTCTCGTGAATCAATGCTCTTTTGCAGGGGTCGATTGCTTGCTTAAAGCATCGTGAGCGTCTTTCTTGGTGAATTCCTGATAAGAATCTGATTCGCTTTCCGTCCTATACAATCTATCTTTGCATTCTGTTTCCCAGCGTTTCAGGTCTCGCAGAATGTTCAAGCATTGTTTGACGCGCTCAATACTAAGGATCTCTGTTGTTTGATCGGATTCCCAAATCTTCAAGGCAGATTGTTGAAATTTTTCGGATTTTCTTATCCAGTTTAGACGTCGTTCGTCATCTTGCGCATCCATAGCCAACTTGTAGCAAACAAATGACATTGAAGAATAACAAGACGCTCTCATCTCAGTATTTTGTTGCTCTCTGCTGAGTATTGTGAGCCCCTGCTCGTAGGTTTTCAAAGCCTTTTCAAAGTGGTTCGTCTATTGGTAGAATGAGTCAGGAGAAACATCGCCATGAACGATGAAACTCTACCTCCACAAAAACATCTGCCACTCTCATACTTGTTACAGCTAAGAGTGACTTCAGTTGATTTTCACGACTTGATTTCATCCTGTAGCAAGCAATTTCTTCTTGCATTGTCTTCTTGTACTCATCAAGTGCCTCTTTATATTTTCCAGCGGCATGTAGAAGCAAGGCGCTTGAGAGGCGACAGCTTGAGGTGCCATCGGTAGAAAAAACGTTCTTGCGGCTCTTACGAATCTCCCTATACTTTTGCAAGGCCGCGCTGATGTCGCCCTGACTTTCAAGAATCCAAGTAAGCGCCAAAGTAACCTGTCCTTATGATTCAAGGGGAGTGCACACGTTTCATGCGAACAATTACAAATTCGTAATAGTACTGATCTTCACCTTCGATCTCGAGCATTTCTTCAAGGCACTCTTTTATTTGCATGGATCTGTCAAAGTGTTGTTACCCCGCTGGAAGATGCTGAAACTCGAGTTTGTTCTCACTGGTCAAGCTCATCATCAGCTGCACATGCACGGCCTCAGTGAAAGTCAGTTACAGAGAACATGCAAAGATGAGAATGAAAGCATACTCATTCCTGAATCAGACAGCTCTGAAGTGCCCCAGATACGCGACAATGCATCTTCCAGGTCTTTCCAAGCCGCTGCCATGTCACTCCTTTGCTGCGATGGATGAATGAAAGTTGAACGAAGAAAGTAATACATGGGAAGAAGAAAAGCAAGAAATGGAAACGCAAGACACAATCAAACAAACAAGCCAAAGGCAATGAACACAACAAAGAGAGATTGCAGGGATGAAATGAAGATGAAATGAAAGACAGAAGACTCTCAGCGTGAAGACCTTTGAAGCAGTTGTGAGTGTCATGGACACAGGGAGTGGATGGGCGAATTCGTTGAAACATGTAAAAGATTCTTTCAAAAATGAAGATATGCATGGACAGAATCTTATTGAAAGAATCTATATGAATCAACACAACAACGAGTTCTCGATGATCTGCTATCAAGAGAAAGAATGCACATCTTTCAAAGAAGCACAGATCATGGTCTCTAACGAATCTCCTCCCATCATCGATGCTCTCAACATGTTAACAATGCATAACACTGCTTTGTCAGCATGATCCCTCTACCCGCCCTCCCCTTTCCACCTCCGCCATTCATCGCATCATCCCATTCATTGCCTGCCATTTTTGGATTCGCCTTCACCAAAAAGTTTGTGGGTTGCCGGCTGCGCGGGAAATTCACCCCCACCCCCTGGTTTTCACTACCCCACCATGGAATTTCCACAAAAAAATATCACATTGACCGGTTCTCTACAAATTCAAAGGACCACCCCCTTCGCTTCGCTAGCAACCAGGATGGCGGAGAGATGAGCAGCATTGAATCGTCGTTGCTGAGTCATGCAGACGGAGCGACAGTTGCGGACCGGGCGAGTGAAGCTGCTGGGCAGACGGCTAGGGCAACATCTTGATGATCGACGATTTCCATGTACTAGAGGTTACGATGCAAGCTCAAGAATTGCTATGTGGTGTGAAGTGCTCACAGCAAAGATGGTGCATACTGAGAGTAGTGCAAATGCCTTGATTGTTGTTCTCATGATCAATCGCTCGCGGAAACATTACACCAGTCACAACAAAATCGATGACCAGCCTCATTGCGATGAAACCAAAACCATCATCAGGTCAAGTCTTGATCCCGAGGAAAAGAAACTGCAGCTGTGACCAGGTCGCAGATCGGTCGACAATGACCGGATACTGATCGTGAAGCTGCAAAGTATAGATGCCTTTGACATGGTCTGGGACGCCGAACACAAACATCTTTGTCAGCCTCCAGAGGCCAGTCCCCTCCTCCTCGTCGAAACCAAAGAGGATCCGTTTGAGCCACGTCCAGGACAGCACAGAGCACTGGGTCTCGATGACGAAATCCGCGAAGTAGCGAACAGCGTTGCCCCAGCCCTCCTGCGGGGGCGCAGCAGCCTCCGGCTCGTGCTCTCCCTCCTTCACCACACTGACCCCTATCGACAGCAGCTGGCAATCCAGGTCACTGTCAATCCCCAAGAGATTCCTCCTCAGAGTCCTCCATGGCCAGATCACGGCATCCTCCTCTACCCCCAAAGTGATGGATCGTAGGAACGCCCATAGCCCGCTCTCTTCCTCATCGACCCCAAGGACAGCTCGTTTGAACCACGGCCATCCTCCAAACTCGTTCCACGGCATCGGGATGAGCTCGATGGAAAAGTCGGCGAGGTTTCTCATCACGGCATCTGCAGACACGTCGCCGAAGATTCTGAGGATGAGCCTCTTCACGACGAACAAGAACTTCCTCGTCAGCAGACCAGACGCAGATACGACGAGGAGAGACCGGAGCACGTCCTCGACGTAGGTCTGAGCGTCGGGGGTGAGGGGAGAACTTGTCCCCTGGTGCTTGAAGATGAAGGTCTTCCTCAGTTGAAGGCTCCGCGAGTCCAGGCGAGCAACGCACAACACCTGTCCTCCACGCAGCAAGGGACTCTCGGGGATTTTCGATCCGCGAAGTGCGAGGCTTCCCCACCTAGACTGGATCACAGAGCACGTTCAGCGCTGCCCGGAAACGTGCAAGGGGCTTTTCTCACCTGGCGCTGGAGGGAGCAGCACTTCACGTTGGGGTCCTTGGGACCAGGACAGAAGGCTGACGGCCGAGCGCGGACCTTTAAGGTTTGTAAGAGGGAGGCCGATGGAGGAAGATGATCGTCGTCCTTGCTTCCCCCATCCCGACCGTCGTCGACATGGTCATTGGAAGAGGTAGCAGAGCTCAGTATGAAAGCAGCGGCCAACAGGAGTAGAATCTTAGTCATGGTGGGGAAGCTCTGCGATGTATCATGAAGTCATCTCTCCCTTCGATCCTGATCGTGCGTGTTGGTCAAATCTGCACGAGGAGACGAGGGGAGGAGAACGATGCGGGGGCGGGGAGGAAAGGTACGAGAGCTCGAATGAAAGGAGGAGGAGGAGGAGGAGGAGGAGGAGGAGGAGGAGGAGGAGGAGGAGGAAGAGGAGGAGGAGGAGGAGGAAGAGGAGGAGGAGGAGGAGGAGGCGAAAGGATGGGAGGAGGGGCTGCGTATCTCACTTGTACAACACTTCTTCCTCCTCGCTCGTGTTGTCACCTCTTCATCGTTCGCCTCCTCCGCCGGATCCCTGCATGGCACCATTTCCATGCATGGCGGCCACTCGTCCTGCCCCTCCTGCCCCTGCTTCTCCCGGTGTTTCTCTTTTGCTGTCCTCCATCCTCCAATATTTGATTCTGAGGGGGACATGCTTTGTGCTGGTACAGGCGCAATGCTGGGTTCCCACTTGCTATGGAAGGGGGCAAGGATAGTTGGCATGGCGGGCAGGGGCAGTGCCATGGCGGCGAGAAGGACGCACATACCTGTTCCTCTACATCCACGACGTCCCTCTGCTCCTCGCGCGCATTCTCTCTCCAGCTCGGCGCAAGGCTCGCCTGCTCCGTGGCTTCTGAGGGGGTCGGCGGGGGGCTGGAAGAGCGTGGAGGAGTTGGATGCGAAGCTTGCGGAGCTTGTCTGTACCAGGCACGCCATGGACATGAACCTTCGGATCAACGACATGCTGTCTAGGGGCGACATTTCGTTCCTGGGGACGGAATCCTCGGTCGAGTTTCGCCGACTGTCTGGCATGGTGGAGGTCCTGCAGTTCGAGTGAGTGCGCATGCCATATGGAGAGGGGTGACCTCTGACGGGCATGCCGCTAGGCACAAGTTCGTTGAGACGCTGGACGTCATGGTGGAGAACATCGGTAGTGTAGGAGGCGTCAGAGTGGGGAGAGCGATGACTCGAATGCCAGACAAGGTTCTCTTGTTGCAGCCTCCTGGTGACGCCGAGCGCGTTCAAGTGACGTTCTCATGGTCCGTCACAAGAGGCAAGGTGGGGACGAGAGAGGTGGATGGAGGAAGGAGAGGGAGGGAGGGGAGGGGGAGGACTGGAGGAGGGGTTGGGATGATGTGTTCGTGTATGTGTGGTGGTTGGGGGTGATGGGAGGGAGGGATGGACAGGAGCTGGGTCGGTTGTGACAGGGTGTGTTGAAGGTGCAGGGCATGAGGAACGAAGAGTTCTCTGCCAGAATCCATGTGAATGGAGAGAAAGTTGTAGAGGTCAACGAGCTCGACACCTCTGTAGCGGAGCAAGTGCGCAAACTGGCTGTATCGCCTCCTGCCCTGACTGTTCTGCCAGCATCTCAGAGCTCTTCGTCAAGAGCTCCAGGTTCCTGACTCGATCCCCGATAGCAAGTTTGCCTGGATCATCAGGTGAGAGGAGTGCTGGGGTTGGAAAGCTCCTGATGCTCATCCAGCTTCTTCTGCACGTTCCCGTCAGACTATGCCTTCGACATCGTAAGGTGAGACCTGGTCGGTGTGGGTGTGTGCGGCATGAAGATCGGTTGCAGTGAACAGCTCAACACGTAGAGCGGGAGAAGCAAAATGGACTGATGAGAGTTTCAACCGACTTTATTCTTCCCACGTGTCACATCTGCTTTGACTTGAGGATCTCAAGACGCCGCCTTCGCCTGTAAGTTTAGAGTCAGGCCAGTAGCTGCCAGCACTAGTTGTTAGCCAGGTGCCTGTTGCTCGAGAGCTTGCGAAGGTCTTCCAAGATAGCCATGTCCTTGCGATACAAACAAACCCCGAGATAGAAAATGAAGAGGATGATGGCAAACAGAACCTGGGCAGATTCTTCAGCTCACGAGCGCTGAACTGGTCAACACAAGGACCCCAAAGACGATCGCAAGCTTCCGCCATGGCGAGTGCTTGGTTTTCTTCATGTGATACTCGCTCCTCGCCTTGGATTGGCTGGGTCCAGGTCAGCATGGCGGAATCTCTCATTGGGTTGACCTCAGCAGCGTGTGAGGACGACGGGCGACGTCCCCGAGTCCGTCAGGGCTTGCCTCGCAGGAGAGATGTTCGCAGTAAAGCTTCTCGAACCTGAAGCTTCACGTCAGGTCGACGAGGCCAAGGGGGAGGGAGCAGGGGGGGCGCACTCGTGATGCAGTCGGTTCGCAGCGTCGCTGGTGTGGGGAGGGAAGCACTTGTCGAGGACTGAGTGGCATCGATGCCTCCGCTTCTGCATCCTCTTGGCATCGCACCTGTAGGAGGAGGTCTTGAACATGCCCTCCGACCCGATGACGTTCTCCTGCATGTCACACTCCAGCACGTCGCAGTAGTCTGCAAGGCAGAACCCATCCTCCTTGATGGTCTCAGGGTGACGGTTGACATAGTGGTGCTCGAGGTAGGACTCGCTCTTGAACACCTTGTTGCAATACAGACACTTCCAGTTGTTGAACCTCACTTCCTTCTTGTGCTGAGGAGGGGATTGATCAGGAAAGAGCACACCAAGACTGACCATGGGCAGCAGAGCAAGCATCTCAGCGAGGCATCGCAAGCTTGCAAGTCAGGCATCACTCCTGCAAGACCTCACCTTTTCGTTGTCAAGGAACATATCTCTCTCTTCCGAGAATGGGCACCCGGGCTGAGGAAAGTTTCAGAAGGCCGGCGGGTCTGAAAGGTGAAGTACGACCGGCAGTTGGAACCCTAGCTTGCGGACATGCGGGTAAAACTCTTCCCTTAGAATGTTCCGAGCCAGCCTCGATCGCCCCCGGTTACAACTGCGGTCCAGCTCAGCTGAGAACGAGCAGGAGCGAAGGTCTTCACTTGGCATGCCGGCTGTCAGAGTCTTCAGCGCCATGCAGAAACCCTTGGATGGAGTTAGTCCCAGGCCGCACTCCAAGTACACTTTGGACCCATCAAGGAAAGAAAAGCAAGGAGACCCAACAGGAATCGCTGATTCCTGCTGCCGTGCTCCATAATCTGAACACAGGAATTCGTCAAGTTCTCGACAGGAGAACAATTTTCCCTCTCCTGTTGTGATCTCCCTCCTGTGCTGCTGCACCTCCTCCTTCTGCTGCTGATCCTGTTCTTCTCGTCCTCCCGCCTCCCTGCTGCTCCTGCTCCTGCACTTCCTCCTTATCCTGCTCCTTGTCCTGCTCCTTGTCCTACTCCTGCTCCTTCTCATCCTCCTTCTATTTTTTCTCCTCCTACTGCTCCTGCTCCTGATCCTCCTGCCTCGTTCTCATCTTTCTCATCCTCCTGTTGCTCTTCCTCCTCCAACTGCTCCTGCTTCTCCTGCTTCTCATTTTTCTCCTCCTTCTCATCCTCATCGTTCTACTGCTCCTTCTCATCCTCATAAATCTACTGCCGGCTGCTGCTGCTGCTCTCCTCCTCCTCCTGCTCCTGCTGCTCCTGCTCCTCCTGCTCTCCTGCTCCTGCTGCTGCTCCTCCTCCTCCTGCTGCTGCTCCTGCTCCTGCTCCTGCTCCTG